ATATGTCCAAGGAACTGGACTTTTTTCAACGCAAACTCGCTCTTGGATAGTTTCACGTAGAAGCGTTCTCGTCGAAGAATTTCAAACACCCGTCGTAGATGCTCAACGTGCTGCTTCATATCTTTCGAGTAGATCAGGATATCGTCCAAATATACCACCACGCACTCGTCCAGAAGGGGCCGAAGGATGTGGTTCATTTCTGCCTGAAATGTGGCTGGTGCGTTAGTGAGTCCGAATGGCATCACGAGATACTCGTATGACCCGTACCGAGTTCGAAAAGCGGTTTGTGGATAGAGTTGTCCGCCATACGAATTTGCCAGTATCCCGATCTGAGGTCGAGCTTGGAGAATACCGTAGCACCGCGAAGTTGATCGAGTAAGTCGTCGATCCGTGGTATCGGGTATTTATTTTTTACAGTCTGCTTGTTCAAGGCTCGGTAGTCGATGCACATTCGCAGACTTCCGTCTGGCTTCGGAGTGAAGAGAACTGGAGCTCCGTACGGCGAAGTCGAAGGTCGAATCAGCCCTTTCTCCAGGAGATACTCTATTTGTTTTTTCATATCGGCAAGCTCTGTCAGGCTCAGCCGGTATGGTGCTCGAAATGTTGGCTTGGACCCCGGCTCTTCTACGATCTCGTGTTGATGTGTCCGGTATGGCGGTAGTTGATCAGGTAAATCGTCGGGGAGAACGTCCTGGAACTCTTCAAGAATTTTCTTGACTGCTGGAGGAAGTTCCTGGGTCTGCTTCTCTCCGTTGTCTGCCTCGTTGACTATCGCCATGAATCCCGCCGTGGTCCGTTTGGCGTCCTTTTCAAAGCGTGCGAGTGTCTCGACTGGAATATTTCCCGTGTCGTCCCATTTGGGAAGGCTGATTTTCCTCCCGTTGTTGTTGATGTTGGCCGTCTGGTTAACCCAGTTGATCTCGGGGTTGAACTTTTTAAGAAAGTCTCTCCCGAAGATTACGTCGAGTCCTTTGATATTTGTGACGGGGAGAGCAGGCTTCCATCGAAGGGGTCCCATCTGGAGTAGCAACCGTGTTTCCCCGTAGATAGGTAGCTTACTGCCATCCACCATCGTTGCAGAGAAGCTTGAGGACTTGATGTCACCTCCGAGTCGATCGATTGCCTTTTTGTCATAGACGCTGTGCGACGCCCCGCTGTCCACGAGTGCTTGGAGGCGCTGTCCGTTGCAGATCACCTCGAGCAAGAGTGGTGAGCGTTGCTCGGAGTACCCAAAAATAGTCTCATTAATAGGATCATAGGGTACATCCCAATATACAGTACACACCGTGGTTCCACTGCTTTCTTCTGGACAACTAGCTGGCCTGGGCTGCGTGGAGAAAGACTCTTCTCCAATGCCAGGAGTAGAGGTAGTAACCGTACAAGTTGACCCTGAGGGGGTGGATCCGGTCGATGCCTGCGATCCACTGGATGCATCCTGGAGGGGTTTTCGGAGTTTCTGCAGCTTCTTTTGAACTCCCAGCTGCCTCTTCAGCTGCTTCAGCTCCATAGACTTCTTCCCTGGGGAGTGGAGAGTCGTCTTGAGCTGGTTCCGGGAGAGGACGTTGACGCCGTGAAAAGGTCTACTCCTTTCCACACTCCTTAATTTTTTCCCCAGCTCCGTAGGCACCGGTACCACTTCTTTAATTGTTTGCTTCCTCTGGAGTTCTTCCCGGAATTTGTTTATGGCTCCGAACCCGCGAAAATCGCCAGTCTTCATTAAAGCATCTTCGAAAGATAACTTTAACGAATTCTGTTTTTTTCCGGGGTCGAATTGGAGAGTTCCCGTCTTGGTCGAGTCTGTTTTCGCGGAGGTTTTCTTTTCCTCGGCGAATTCCTCTGACAAATTTCGGTCAAGGGGCTTGGGATTTCGCCCATGATTCTCCAAATCTCGCGCCCAATGCTGTCCTTCAATTTCGATTCGGTCCAGATTGCGCTGACGCTTTCGGATCTGTTTTTTCTCGCCAGCCCGATCCGCAATCACTGGCGAGATCCGTTTTTTGACTTTTTGTCTTTAGTTTCGCCACTCCCACGAGCTCGGAATGCCGCACGTGCAGATTTCATGTGAAAACAGTCGACAATGCGATGTCCGTTTCCGCCACAAAATTCGCAAAGTGTTTTGTTTTTTGCAGGACGTGAACTCGCGTCGAATTTGTCGACTTCCATGGGGTCGGCGAACGTGGTTGAAGCCGAGCGATCCCCTTGTCGTGATCCGACGACGTGGGGTCGCCGTGTCCCGGAGTTGACCAAGTCAAAACGCTCCGCGGCCGATACGATTTCGCTGTAACTGCTGCAATTCGCTGCTGCAACCTGGCGCCGAATGCCGATTTTCAGCCCCGCGATGTAGGACTGAATTTTTTCGCCCTCGGTAATGTCGGGAATGCGATTATAAAATTCCTCCATCTGCTGCGTGTATTGCGCGACACTCCCGAATTGCCTATGGGGATGTAATTTTTCGCGCGCAATATAAGTGGAATTAATCGGCTCAAAACGTTTGAGAAGGTCTGCCCGGAACTGCTGCCATGTGGCTTCGCCCTGGAAAATGCTACTGTTGCTTCCGAGCCACTCGAGAGCTGGACCGCGCATCAACGTTGTCGCGAGACGAATTTTCTCGCCGTCGTACTCCGTTGTCGTCCATCCGATCGCCGCGAAATAAATTTCCATCGTCACGAGCCACGGCCTGACGTCAGATTTTCGATCGCTAGGGTCGAACGATTCCGGCGAGCGAAGTTTCGGAACCTCGAACTGACGCTGCGACTGCTGCGAAGTCGTCGAAGCAAGAATGTTCATGGTCGAGAGGAGCCGCGTAACGCGCTGCAGTTCGTTTCGCATCTGCTCGTTCTCCAATTGCGACCGTTCAGTCGTCGCTCGCATCTCCGCTTCCATCTTGGCGATTTGCGCGAAGAGCTGCTGTGTAACGTCGTTGGTCGCCGGCGAACCCATCCTGTTCAAAAACCACGCGAGGGGGTTAATTCGAAAAGCGCGGAACTGGTACTTACCAGAAATCGGCGTCGAATTGGTCGCCCCCGGCGGTTTTTCGAGGCGATTTTTTCCGCGACCGCTTCTTAGCCGAGAGTTGTCGAGTGAGAACGGCTCTGATTACCAAGTGTCACAGGATCGAATTCTCAATCGAAACTTGTCACTAAAACTGAATACAAGGCCTATTTATACTCAGAAAGTACAAGGATAAACGAGATAAAACGAACCTTCGGGAACACACCCTTCCCGATACTACAATCACAAGTGCGCATAAGCACGCAAGTCTATTGGCACTTGGGATTACGCCCAGATTACACCGTATACACCACTGTCGGCGCTGTCGGTGCCGTATAATAGGTATGTCGGTGGGAAAAGTAGGAAATAAGAGAAATAAATAGAAGGCTCTAAAGAATAGAATAGTAGGCCGATTGAGATGAGATAAAGACCAAAATAAAGAGGAGAAAAGGGAGAATGGGAAAACGGAAAAATATAATAGTGAGAAAATATTATAACGGGGACGTCCTCTCACAGGGAGAGACCATCTGTCCTATCGCACTGTAGGAAAAGCTGTAGGTCATCGACCCAGACCTCAAAGTCGACAGCCCTGTCAGATTTATATGACATAGTTGCTGTAGGCTAAAGTGGGGTAGCACATATGGGATACAGGGTTTCTAGGGTTGTATTTGTACCCAATCTTTCCTCAGTCATTCATTCCTGCTTACTCATTTCACATGGTATAGAGCGGGTTCCCTGTGGAACTCTGCCTAGGGCCCACCGAAGCGCGCCCCGAGGCGCGCTCAACTTTTTTTTCCGCTATCGAGCGACCCTCCGTGTCGCCTCCCTCCCACACGCGGCCCAGCCGCCCGCTAAGTCGCGGCCCCAGCCGCCCGCTACGATCGCGGCCCCAGCCGCCTGCTCGACGCGGCCCCCAGCCGCCTGCTCGACGCGGCCCCCCAGCCGCCTGCTCGACGCGGCCCTGCCGCCCGCTACGCCGCGGCCGCCGCCCACTAATCGCGGCCCCGGCCGCCTGCTACGACCGCGGCCCCAACCGCCTGTTCGACCGCGGCCCCGCCGCCCGCTCCTGCCGCGGCCCCCCAGCCGCCTGCTCGACGCGGCCCCCCAGCCGCCTGCTCGACGCGGCCCTGCCGCCCGCTACGCCGCGGCCGCCGCCCACTACGATCGCGGCCTCGGCCGCTTGCTACGACCGCGGCCCCAGCCGCCCGTTCGACCGCGGCCCCACCGCCCGCTCCTGTCGCGGCCCCGGCTGCCTGCTTGCACGGCCCCGCCGCCTGCTACGACCACTGCGCCAACCGCCTGTTCGACCGCGGCCCCGCCGCCTACTTCCGTAGCGGCCCCGGCCGTCTTCTCGCGCGGCCCCGCCGCCCACCTACTACCGGGAGCCGAGCCGCGCTGCAGCCGAGCCGCCCGGGAGTCGAGCCGCCCTGCACCCGAGCCGCCCTGTCGCCGAGCCGCCCGGGAGCCGAGCCGCCCTGCCCCCGAGCTGCCCTGCCGCCGAGCCGCCCGGGAGCCGAGCCGCCCTGCGCCCGAGCCGCCCAGCACCCGAGCCGCCAGGTCGCTGAGCCGCCTTTCTGCATACTTACTCGACCTGCCCTGCCTGGTGAGCACAGTCCCACTGCCACTGCGAGCTCTTTCCCTACTGCTTGCACTGTATCGCTGTCGTCGCCATGGCTACCCCTAGTGTCCTAGTTTTTGACGCTGAGGGTCGCGCCATTGATTTTGAGGTCTGGTTAGACGACCTGCAGCTGTTCTTATAGTGCGACAGGGCTGACGACCTTTCTCTCTTTGACCTCACCTCTGGCGCCTCTCCTGCTCCTGCTGCTGATGCTGATCCCGCTGTCCGCTCTAAGTGGGCCACCCGCGATGCTGCTGCACGTCTTGCTGTGCGTCGCCACCTCCCTACCTCTGAGCGTGCGCACTTTAGTCAGTACAAGAGTGCTCAGACCTTGTACGACGCTGTAGTTGCGCGCTACTCCTCCCCTGCCACTGCTGCACTGAGCCGTCTCATGCTTCCCTACCTCTTTCCTGACCTCTCTGCCTTTCCCACTGTCGCTGACCTCATTACGCACCTCCGCACTAGTGACACTCGCTACCGCGTCGCCCTTCCTGCTGAGTTCTGCGCTAAGAACCCCCCCCCCATGTACATCGCTCTCTACTACGTAGTCGCGCGCCTCCCTGACTCCCTTCGCGTCGTCAGGGACCACTTTCTCGCAGTCTGTCCCACCACCCTCACCGTCGACCTCCTCGAGAAGGCCCTCCTTGCAGCGGAGAAGAGCATAGTCGCTGTAGGTGCTTCTCGTGGTGACCCTCGCACCCCCATCTTTGAGGGGTGCTCTCCTTCCCCCTTGCTGCCCTCTGTTGCCTCTGCTGCTGCTGCCGACCTGCTTGGTCTTGAGTCGGTCGGCGCGGCGTCTGCCCCTAGTGGGAGACGTCGCTCCAGCAAGGGCAAGGGGGGCAAGGGCGCGGGTGGAGCTGGAGGGGGCGGTGGCGGTGGCGGCGGTGGCGGCGGAGGGAGTGGGGGTGGCGGCGGGACTAGTGGTGGTGGTGGTGGTGGTGGTGGCAGCAGCGGCGGAGACGGTGGTGGTGGTGCCAGCGGTGGTGGTGGAGGCAGCGGCGGCGGTGGAGGCGGCGGAGGTGGAGGCGGTGGAGGCGGCAGCGGAGGAGGCAGTGGTGGTGGAGGAGGTGGAGCTGGTCGGGGTGGTACCCAGCAGCGTAGCGGCGGTGGTGGTGGCCAGCGCTCGCACCGGCAGCAGCAGCAGCGCTCGCGGGACATCCCTTCGCCTCAGCAGCTTCGTGAGTGGTACGCTGGGCGTCAGAGGGGTGGGGGTACTGGTCCCTGCACCTACGTTCTTCGTTCCGGCGACCGCGCGGGTGAGCAGTGTGGGGGTGCCCACGCCACCCAGCGCTGCTTTGGCCGCCTGACGGACGCCTGGCGTCAGCAGTTCCCTGGGGCTAGTGAGATCCCTCGCTGGGATGAGCTTCTCAGGGCTGGTGTAGCGATCTTTGATCTGGATTTTGATGTTATCCTTACTGCTATGTATGTTGTGGATTATAGTGAGGAGAATGAGGGTTACCGTTGTTTCCAGCCCGACCCGGGCATTGGTACTGCTGCGCTAGGTGCTTGTGAGGCTGCTGCTCTAGGTGCCAGTGCGTCTGCGCTCACAGGTACTGGTGAGACTGCGCTCTCAGGTACTGCGTCGTCCTCGTCCTCCCTCACTTTCACACTTGACTCCGGAGCTTCTCGCTCCTTCTTTCGAGACCGCACTACCCTTACGCCGCTCGGCCGGCCGGTTGCGGTCTCCCTTGCTGACCCCTCTGGAGGTCCTGTCCTGTCTCACTTCTCCACTGTCCTCCCGTGTCCGGCTGCCCCTTCGGGCACCCTGTCGGGTCTGTACCTTCCCTCGTTCTCTACGAACTTGGTGAGTGGAGCGGACCTGCAGGATGTGGGGGTTCACCAGTTCACTCCTGCGAGACAGCGGGTGACCCACTGCACGGAGGCACGCACAGGCCGACACCTGGCCACGTTCTCGCGTCGGCCGGGGTCGAGTCTCTACACCCTGACCGTTGAGTCTCCTCCTGTCCCTGCGTCTGGTCAGGTGGCTGCGTCGGGTCAGGTACTTGCTGCTGCGTCCTGGTCAGGTCCTGAGTCTGCCCCCTGTTCTTGTCGCCTCCTGTCTCACGAGACTCTCCTGTGGCACCACCGTCTTGGCCACCCCTCCTTGCCCCGTCTTAGGAGCATGGCTTCCCGTGTCCTTGTCTCTGGTCTTCCCCAGTCTCTCCCTCCTCTCCCCTCCGGGCCAGGACCTTCCTGTGTCCCCTGTGTCGAGGGTCGCCTCCGGGCTACTCCTCACTCCTCCCACTTCCCCCCGACAGAGGCTCCCCTGCAGACGCTTCACATGGATGTGTGGGGCCCAGCCCCCGTCCGTGGGCAGGGTTACGAGCGCTACTTCCTGTTGGTGGTTGACGACTACTCGCGTTACACCACAGTCCTCCCCTTGCGCAGCAAGGGTGCGGTCACTGAGGTGCTGATCGACTGGATCCGCGAGGCTCGTCTCCAGCTCAGGAAGAGCTTCGGCTCGGACTTTCCTGTTCTGCGTCTGCACTCTGACAGAGGCGGAGAGTTCTCTTCTCGCCTTCTGCGAGACTACTGTCGTGCAAGGGGGATCCGCCAGACCTTCACGCTTCCGGACTCACCACAGCAAAATGGGATTGCTGAGCGCCGCATTGGCATGGTCATGGATGTCGCTCGTACGTCCATGATGCATGCGGCTGCCCCCCATTTTCTGTGGCCGTTTGCGGTGAGGTACGCGGCGCATCAACTCAACCTTCACCCCCGGGTCTCTCGGCCTGCGATGTCCCCTGCCTTGCTGTGGACGGGGAAGGTTGGCGATGCGTCTGTGTTCCGTGTCTGGGGATCTCGGGCGTTTGTCCGCGACTTGTCTGCGGACAAGCTGTCCCCTCGTGCTGCTCCCTGTGTCTTCCTTGGCTTCCCCACTGACGCCCCAGGGTGGCAGTTCTACCACCCCTCCTCTCGTCGTGTTCTGTCCTCCCAGGACGTCACGTTCGACGAGTCAGTCCCCTTCTACCGTCTCTTCCCCTACCGCACTCCTTCCCTCCCCCCTCCCCCGGACTTCCTTGTGCTGGTTCCCCCCCCGGTAGACCCCCTCCCCCCTCAGGTTCCTGCCCCCTCAGGTGTGTCCCAGGTAGACGCCGTTGACCCGGTCGAGGTTACAGGTGACTCTGGTGCTGCTGCGGGTGCTGAGCCTGGGGGTGCTGACTCTGGGGGTGCTGTGCGCGGGGGTGCTGAGCCTGGGGGTACTACTGCTGGGGGTGCTGGGCCTGAGGGTGCTACTGCGGAGGGTGCGGAGCCTGGGGGTGCTAATCCGGGGGGTGCTGTGCCTGGAGGTGCTGGGTCTGGGGGTGCTGGGTCGGGAGCTGCTGAGCCTGGGGGTGCTGAGCTGGGAGCTGCTGAGCCTGGGGGTGCTGCGTCTGGAGCTGCTGAGCCTGGGGTTTCTCCTGCTGCTGCGTCTCGCCGGGAGCCCCTCTCTCCACAGGAGCTGCGCGAGTGGTTCGCTCGCCGCTGGAGGCGTGCTGCTGAGTCTGGAGGTGCTGCTGGAGCTGGAGCTGGGGCTTCTTCGACCGTCGAGGGTGCGGGTGCTGCCGGTCCCGGAGCTGCTGGACCTGCGGGTCCTCCTGGAGCTGGAGCTGTTGAGGGCGTTCGTGCTGAGCCTGCTGCTGTTGGTCCTGCCGCGGGAGGTGTGGGTGGCGCTGGTGCTGTCGCTGAGGGTGCTGGTACTGTCCCTGCTGAGTCTGGAGCTGCCGCGCGGCCTCGGCCGTACTTCGTTCCGCTCCTGCAGCAGGTTCTTGGTCTTTCTCCTCCAGTAGAGGGTCCACCGCCTGTCCAGTCGCAGTCCCTACTGGAGCCTTCCTCTCCACTGCCTGCTCCCTCTCCTTACACTGGTCCTACTGGAGGTCTTGCTGAGCGTCGTGAGCCTGTGTCTCGTCCCGCGTCGCCTGTTCGTGCTGCTCGCGCTAGTGGTCGCAGTTCGCGTCAGCGTCCTCCTCCTGTCCCTGGCATGCACCGGATGTCTCTGCGTCCGTCCACTGCTCCTCTGCGTGCCCCTTTGCCTTCTCCTCCTGAGTCCTCTCTTCCTGCGCTTGTCGACCCTGAGTCGGACTCTCTTCGCGCTGCCAGTCCTACTGTCACGCGTCTGCTTGCTACTGTCGTCACTGACCCCTCTTTTGAGTCCACTGCTGCGTCTGCTCTAGTCGCTGAGCTCGTTGACTTTGCTGCTCGCTGTCGTCTCGACTACGCTGCTGGTCTTGTTGCTGAGTCTGCGTCTGTCTGTCCTCCGTCCGTCGGGGGTGAGTGTGCTCTTGGCACGGACGTCTTAGAGGACAGGCAGGAGGAATTACAGTGTCTAGCGGCTGCTTCACCTCATCTCGCGTCTGTACTGCTTGCCCCTGAGGGAGACCCGGATGCACTAGACATCCCGACTCCGCGTTCTTACGCGGAGGCCGTAGAGGGTCCCTACTCCTCTCAGTGGCAGGCAGCTATGGATGCAGAGATGGCTTCCTGGAAGTCCACAGGCACCTACGTTGACGCGGTTCCCCCTCCTGGGGCGAACATCGTCAGTGGCATGTGGATCTTCAGGGTGAAGCGGCCGCCGGGCTCTCCACCTGTCTTCAAGGCACGGTACGTTGCTCGTGGCTTCAGTCAGCGGCAGGGAGTTGACTACTTTCAGACCTTCTCTCCCACCCCAAAGATGACTACTCTTCGGGTGCTGCTGCACATAGCCGCTCAGCGCGACTACGAGCTTCACTCTCTCGACTTCAGCACTGCGTTCTTGCAGGGTAGCCTGCACGAGGAGATCTGGCTTCGCCGTCCACCTGGCTTCACTGGGACTTTCCCTCCTGGCACCCAGTGGAGCCTCCGACGGCCAGTCTACGGTCTCCGCCAGGCACCGCGTGAGTGGCACGACACACTGAGGACTATGCTTGCGGCTCTTGGGTTTGCTCCTTCTACTACTGACCCGTCGCTGTTTCTTCGCACCGACACTTCCCTGCCGCCGTTCTACATCCTCGTGTACGTCGACGACTTGGTCTTTGCCACAGCGGACACTGCTGGACTCGCCTACGTGAAGTCCGAGCTGCTGAAGAGACACACGTGCACAGACCTGGGTGAACTGCGCAGCTACCTTGGCTTGCAGATCACTCGGGACAGAGCACGCCGCACCATTACCTTGACTCAGTCACACATGGTGCAGCAGGTCCTTCAGCGCTTCGGCTTCACGTACTCCTCGCCTCAGGCCACTCCTCTGCCTACTCGCCACTCACTCTCAGCTCTGCCTTCGGATAAGTCCGTAGAGTCGAGTGGTCCGTATGCAGAGCTTGTTGGCTGCCTCATGTACCTGATGACCTGCACACGACCTGACCTTGCATACCCTCTGAGCATTCTTGCACGCTATGTTGCTCCTGGGAGACACAGACCGGAGCACATGGCTGCAGCGAAGAGGGTATTGCGCTACCTGTGCAGTACGTCGGGCATGGGGCTAGTGCTTGGAGGGCGGAGTCCAGTGGTCCTTACCGGCCACGCGGACGCTTCTTGGGCAGACGACCAGGCTACGCAGCGGTCGTCACAGGGTTACACCTTCAGCCTTGGTTCCGGCTCTGTCTCGTGGCGGTCTACTCGCTCGTCTTCGGTTCTCGGCTCCAGTTGTGAGGCTGAGATCTACGCCGGGGCCATGGCTGCACAGGAGCTTCGCTGGCTCACCTACCTGCTGACTGACCTTGGAGAGCCGCCTCGTTCTCCTCCAGTGCTGTACGTAGACAACAAGGCCATGCTGGCCTTGTGTCGAGAGCAGCGCTTGGAGCACAGAACGAAGCACATTGCTCTCCGCTACTTCCTTGCTCGTGAGCTGCAGCAGCGTGGTCAGTTGCGACTTGCGTACGTGGCCTCTGAGGCCAACACTGCTGATGTGTTCACCAAGGCACTCGCGCCTTGTGACCATCAGCGCTTTTGCACCCAGCTGGGTCTTGTGCCTGTCTTGCCTCACTTGCTCTCCTCTTGACTTCACTTGTACTGTGACATATATATATGCCTGCTCTTGTTTGTCTAGTTTTATATATATGTCTGTACTCCTGCATGTGAACTGGCCTCTGGCCCTACTCTTGCGCTCGGACTGTGTGGTGACTTTGGGATCCACCCTGAGCTTGCTTTGTTTTGCTTGACTGGTCTTGTGACCCCTTGTTCTCCCCCACTTTGCCTATGGGGGTGTGTCAGATTTATATGACATAGTTGCTGTAGGCTATAGTGGGGTAGCACATATGGGATACAGGGTTTCTAGGGTTGTATTTGTACCCAATCTTTCCTCAGTCATTCATTCCTGCTTACTCATTTCACAAGCCCGACCCTCAGCATCAAAAGTGAGAATATTAGGAGCAGCCATGGCAGCAGTGGCAGCAGCAGGCTAGCAGTAAGAGCAGGGCGGTGGTAG